TTTTTTTTTTTTTTTTTGAAAAAATAATATGAATTTCTCGACGGCTTAGTTATTTCTTTTCCCCGCTAAACAAAATGTTAACATTTTGTATGTTTGAAAATTGTTTGTTCTCAGTTTGAGTCTCAGTGTAAGACACGTCCAGCTCCAGCTCCTCAGCAGAGTCAGAGTCAGCGCCCCCATAATCCACATCAACATCAGCCACCAATGCCACCTCATCAACAGCACCCACAACATCCCCAACATCCTCAACATTCACAACAAAATCATGGTCCTAGGATGATGATGGGTCCTCCACAGGGTGTAAGACCACAAAGAATGCCACCTCCAGGAATGGGTCCACCAGGTCCAGGTGGCCCTGGACAACAAGGTCCACCACGTATGCATGGTCCACCAATGGGTCCTGGACCAGGACCACACCATCCTTTACCTGGACATCCTAATCAAGGCCCACCACCTCCTGGATATCAGCAAGGACCGTGGAATGGGCCAAGACCTAATGGACCACCTGGACCACCCAGAGGTCCAAATGGACCTGGTGGTCCACCTCAACAAGGACCACCAGGACCAGGTCCTGGTCAACATCGGCCTCCAGGAATGGTATGTAATATCTCTTATTTAATTATTAAATATAATATAATTGTATAATATAATTTTATTTATCTTAAAACAATTTTTTATACATAAGACTCTAAAACTTTATAAATATAAAACTTTTATTTTGATGTAAAAGTAGAAAATAAATGAAAAAGGCAAAAAAGAAAATAAGAATATAATATGTAATTGTCTAATATAATTATGTATTACAAATCTATGAGAAAATATTTAAATATTTTTTAGATAATATTTGGAATGTTAATTAAGAATTTTTGTTGCTCATTGCTTGATTTTTTATAATTTGATATATTGTATATGAATTGATACATTATGGTACAAATTACAAGAATATTTTTTGCACTTACATGTCTTACGCTCCGCGTAAACAGAGTTGCACTAGAGACCTTTCAGAAGCCAGTTACCATATGCCACAGGTAACACACAATGTGTTTTTCCTGCTTTTCACGTTGTAAAAATTATCCATTCTTCAAACTGATTTATTTTTTAACAAAAAATTTTATTAAACACTATTACTAAATAAATTTAAATTTTATTAGATTTAGAATTTTAAAATATTTCTTTTTAAATATATTTAGAAAAAAGATTTGAACTATATTAAAAAGAAATCATCTAACTTCTATTTTTCAATATTTCTCAATTCAACTATCTTTTGAATTATTGATTGATTAATTTTAAATTAATTCTTTTTCTATATCAATTTAAAGAAAATTAAAAGAAAATAAAAATATAATATATAAAATTTATTTTTTTATATATATAATTTATTTAAATTAATTAATTTTTTATATATAAAATTTATTTTAAGTTAAAAGAAAATATAAAAATATATAAAATTTATTTTTTCGGAAGTTTACCACAATCAATTTCAATGCATGAGATATGTATAACATGAAAAGCTTTTTCAGAAAACAATTATTTCGTTTCAATTTGTTTAGTGTTTAATTAGATATACACAGCACATTGAAAAGTTTTTGATAAACTAATAACTGGCTCTGATATCTAAATGTTTCATCAATGTTATTATTTATTTTATGATCATATTTTAATATAATAATTTGTTATTGATTCATATAATTAATTTTTTTTTGTTATATTTTTTTCTAAGAATAGAAAATGATTTTTAATTTAATTATGGTAGATTGAAATAGATTCTTCGTTTGTCTCCATTCAGCAATTTCATGGTGGCCCACCTGGTCCACCTGGTCAAGGACCTCCACGTGGTCCGCCTGGACATCCTGGTGGACCTCCAGGTGATCCAAGAGGTGCTCAACCACGTCCTGAATGGAATAGACCACCAGGTTTGTTAAATACCATAATTCATTATAAATTATGTACTGAAACATCTTGGACTCACATGCTCTGTTCTTACTTTCATTTTACGTGTTGTTATGGTAAAATCCTTGTTTCTTCACAGTCTGTAGTCTGCATGATAGAGTAGGTGTTTGAAAATTCAGATATATGAAAATTATCATAAAGTTTAAAGTAAACTTTAATAAATCACTTTAAATAACAAAACATTATATAATCAAATTATTGTGAAAGTTCATTGATGTAAAGTTCACTGATGTAATTATTCAATGTGCATAGGAATGCATCATGGGCCTCAGGGACCACCAGGTTTCCCTCAACATCAACATATGCAAGGCCCGCAACCTGGTCAAGGCCCACCACAGAGAGGACCTCCTCCAGGTTCTATGGGTGGTGAGAAATTTAGGATGTTCATTGAATATTAAGAATATTGTTATTAATTTTTCTTATAATATTGCATGATATTGAGGGAAATTTTATGCTTAGGAGTATGAAGGTACAAGGTGTTTCAGATAATAATAACGTAATAAATAAATCTATTTTTAGAATAAAATAATTAAAACAAAAATAGAAGTATTTTTTATGTTATGAGGTCATTGAATCATTTTATATATTTAAAACTAAATATTGATTAATATTTTTAGTGAACGTGAAGTATATAACTTTTGTAAATAATGTTAAAAAATAAATAACGATATAAAAAAAATAGTTTAATTTTAGATAAATATTTTGGAAATGTAAAAAGAGAGTGTAAGAAGTCTAAGTCCAAGTCTAGAATAATTAATTATAATTTTACAACGTTGTACAGGCATATCCTAAAGCAAAAAATCATATTTCATCAAGTCGATTATAAAATAAAAATTATTTCATAATTAAACAAATGTTTAAGCTTGCTATATTGTTGCAAGCTAACATAGATATTGATCAGGAATGTTACCAGGTCCAGGAGGACCACCACCTGGTCATGGAGGCCCACCTCAAGGGCCTCCACAAGGACCTCCAGGAGGACCTGCACCACACGTGAATCCAGCATTTTTTCCACAAGGGCCACCTCATCAGCATCCAGGACAACATCCACCAGGTCCTCCTGGTCCACCTCATGGGCCACCTCATGGACCACCACATGGTCCACCTCATGGTCCCCCTCATGGACCTCCACATGGTCAACCGCATGGACCACCACATGTGCCACCGCATGGTTATGGACCACCTGCAGCACAGGTATGTTATATTCTAGCATGTATTGTTGTACTGACCATTGTACTTTCATATTATATTTCTGATCGTTTATTATTCAATTTTATGAAGTTTTCATAAAAATCGAAAATTAAATATATATCTTATAGCCACCTTATGGTGCACCGGGCCCTGACCATCGTCCAGAAGGGCCTCCTCCCCTCACCGAACAAGAATTTGAAGAAATCATGGGTAGAAATAGAACCGTTTCTTCTTCTGCAATTGCTCGAGCAGTATCCGATGCTGCGGCAGGAGAATATGCAAGTGCTATAGAAACCTTGGTTACAGCTATTTCTTTGATAAAACAATCCAAAGTTGCTGCAGATGATAGATGTAAAATTTTAATCAGTTCTCTTCAAGATACCTTACGTGGCGTTGAAACCAAGAGTTATGGATCAGCACGTAGGGGTAAATTTCTTATATATTTAGAACAATTTTATCCATATTTACCGTTGAATATAATTAAATGGCAATAAAATTTTTTCATTTAATGAATTATTTCAGAACGATCACGTTCACGAGATAGAGAACGCAGTCATAGAAGAAGACGTGAGCGGTCAAGAAGCCGTGACAGAGAATACAGAGAAAGAAGCAGAGATAGAGATAGAGAGCGTGACAGGGAACGCGATCGTGAAAGAGAGAGGGACCGTGATCGTGACAGAGAACGTTATTATAGTGAACCATATCCACGAGAGAGATCACGAAGCAGAGAGAGGGATCGTGAACGTGAAAGAGATCGCGAATATAGAGAGCGAAGCAGAGAAGAAAGGTAAGCTCAATATCCCAATACAATTATTTTAACTGTCACTACCAGATGTACCTTCTTATCCAATTTATTTAAAAATTAACTAGTAGTTATAGTTTATAACTGACAGTTTTCTTAATAGTTACGTATGTGTGTGATTTAGAAAAAAAGAAAATAACTTTGATAAGTTTATACTTACATAAAATAATCCGATATTTACATTGTAATAAGCCGAATAACTATATACAGTTTACTAAAATACATCATGCAAATTTCTTCATAAGTAGATATATCATTATATCAACGATATTGATTTAATTAATATAAATCCCATTTATTGTATTATATATTTTTCAAATATTTTAAATCGTATTATGCAGAATATTGTATGCGGAGTTCATTAAAAAAATTTTAATTAAGTACTTATTTAAAATAGCATTAAATAGTATAAAATTTGATAAAATTAAAAATACTTGTAATCGTAATTAATGATATTTAAATAAGAACGCATTGATTTACATGTGTTCAATTGTAAAATAGTTAATAATGTATGTTTACTTAGGTATTGAAATATTTAATTGGGACAAATTTAGCTGCTATTAAATATTAAAAATTATTTGTAACGTTTGTATGGTCCATATTAATTATAAAAAAATTCATAAATACAGACAAGAACCGTAGATACTTTTTACATGGTCGTGTATTAGTAATTTAAATAAGATAGTTTATTATATAATACTATATATGCTAGATTTTATTAATAATACAAGTGAAATTAACCCTTTTGTTGTAGTACAATTTTGTATATTGTAATTTTAGAATGTTATAATTGTTCAAAGAGAATCTTTGATAATTATGTAGAATAATTTCGACTGAATTAGTAATTGAGAAGGTGTTAATCGAACAAAAATAATTACTCATATTATCAGCAGCGACAGGGTTAAATAAAATTAATGTTGCTTATTAATACGCTAATTGTTATTATACACAATTTTATATACTTTAGATTTTGAATATTTTTTAATAATAAATATCAAGTAAAAATTTATGTATATGAAAGTAATTTTAAATTTTCTTTTTTTGTTAATGGTGACAATTTAATTTATAAAAGTTCAAGATATTATGAACTTTTATTCTTTATAAATTGCACTAGAGATAGAATATTAATTACATTAAAGAATATGTTTTTTATTAAAATTTTAAACATTTATAAAATCTAAAAAGTAACAATTAACGTATCAATTAATACATGTATTTTTATTATTATAAGTATCAGATTGTTCGTTAATGTCTACTTTTCATAAATTTAATATAAAATTCGTTAAAAGGATTGATCGAAAGCAATTATCACATTGTCATGATATATAGTTGTTATACTATACTTTGAAATACAAGTGGACATTATTTGTAAAACAATCAAATATCTTGATCTAGGTGCTCTGCGTTCTTATTGAGTGTTATTATTCCTATGTTAACTTCTATTTACTGTGCATTATTATATAAATATTTTCATAAAGTTCTAATAATAATAAGATAATTTTCTCACTAGCTAATTCAAAAATAGTGATGCTTATATTTTTGCTTTTACTTTACATCTATATACACATATATTTATCTTTATTTTAATCCAATAAGTTTCTGATGATATTAGAGGTCTGATGTAGCGTTATTATTGCAGTCTTATTGATGGTACTGCTTTGAACTGCCAGTGAGGAAATTGTTTTGCAACAATAATGCAATGAAAATATAGACATATACTTGAGATTTAGTAAATTAATTTTTTACAAAAAAATATATTATTATGATTTAATGTCAATATTCGAAGTTATATTCATTATGTTTTATGTTGTACTTATCAAGAGTATCACACAAGAGTATAACACAATAAATGTACAATAAAAATTTACTTTTTTCTTTTTTAATTTTGTCAAAACATTAGTAGAATACCAATAATTAAAGAATTTAAATTATTTATTAATTATTTAGTAATATTTAAAAGATGCTCAGTGTGTATTGGTTAACATAGGAAGAAATTTACTATTTGTCAGCTACTACAAAATGAAATCATAAAACTATCCTTATGTTTGTTTTAAAGTAGCAGACATTTTTTATTTCTTTTCTTCTTATTAATCATCAGTAAATAATTACTAAATAATCATTATAGATTTTCATTAGTTATGGTTTTAGAAAGTAATGAGGATCTTTTTTTACAGTACTCAGAGAGATTAAAAATTTACGATCTCAATTTTGAAAAAATATATCTTAAGAATTTATGTATAATAATAACATAATTTAAATATGCAACTGAAATAACTCTGCGAGTTATAAATTTTATTGTAAATCGTTCAAAATTTTAGTATGGACTAAAATGATGAAAATTGTAATTTTATCGATCGTATTTCGTTTATTATTTTTGAAATATTCAATATAAGTAACGCTGAGGTTTCAAAGATTAGATAACTAACAATAAATAACAAGTACTCATAATTTAAATGATTAAAAGATTGTAGATTGAGACAAACTTCTATTTATTTATTAAATACATTACAACAGTTGTAAGAATATGTTCAGGTCTACATTTTTATTTGAATAGTGTAAATACGAGGGAAAAAAATTTGTACTCATCTTTCAATACTTCAGTAACTTATTTTTGTCACAACGTGATATTTGAATTGTGTATGCGGGTGCACTTAGAATCATAAAATGTCTGAATCACATTAATTTACACTAATAAAAAGTTAAAAGTTGAAGCTATACAACAACAGTTTTTCGAATATATAATTGATAAATTTTGTAAACCAGTGTTAGCTTCTTCTCTGAAATAAGTCGTATGATACATTCAATGCAATATTTCCCTCTTATTCCTCCTATTTAGTTATAATTTTTAATTTAGTTATAATTTTTATTTCCAAGATCATCATTGGAAAAACTATGTAAAAGAATGTGCATACCTTTTTTATAGATATTGTTCTCTATTTAAAGCATACTTCAGTGTGTTTCATAAAAATATTGCAAAACGGAATTTTTACTAAATGTATTTAGAATTATTATTATTAGAAGAATTAAATATTTAATTTGTGAACTAGTTTATTGATATATTTAAATATTATTGAGACTTATCCACAATTAAAATCATTGCAGTTATATAATTTTAATAATTTATAAGCTTAACAGTTCATGAATTAAATAATCAATTCTTACATATCAATATATTTATTGTTTGTGAAATATGAATAGGAATTATACAATTTATTTATTAAATTAGCATACTCAAATTATTATTTCTAAAAAAAGAATTAAATGAAATTAAATGAAATTTAACATTAATATAATGTACAAATATGTAAAATGTATAATTATTTTCTATAGCTATTAAGATAGCTAAATACTTCTTCAATTTATATATTATATTGACACATAATCTGCACTTATCTGGAGAAAAATTGTAATATCGATTGTATTAAGATTAATATTTGTACAAATATTTCATTACAGTAGTCGTAATCCTGCAACCATAAGAATAGGTCAAATTTATGAAACAAATACATTCTAACAAGAACTGTTTTCTGTCTATGTAAAGATTAGTTATTTTTATTCCATTTTGAATATTCTAAAATGGTTACAGGATGAATCCTGAAATTTTTTTGAACACGTGTAAGTGCACTTACATGTAATTAGTAACTCTAGTTAATACTACTTAGAATAATATATTAATTGTTATTATATTTTCTAATTTAATTTGCATTTTTGATAGAAAAATGCTAAAAGATGATTATTCAATCAGTCAAAGTCATAGAGTAAGTTTATAATTTCATATAAATTTTTCTCAAATAAGTGATCGTTGCTAGATTATAGTTGAACATTGAAAAAGAAAACTGAATTATCTTAACATAACTTATTTTAACTAAAGCAACGTATTAAGCCTGGTAACAGTATAAATCATAACGAAGTATGCATATTTTCCATTAGTACGACACGTCAGTCAGCCAGGCCAAGAGTAAAAGAAGAACCGCCAGAGACGGCTCCCGTCTCGTCTTCCAAGGCGTCTAGGTAATTCAAACTTTTTTTCCATTAAAGTGAATGCATGTAGCTCTTGTTATAAAGTACTATCTTGTTAGATGCAAAACAGATCAGAGTTATTTTTAAAGAATTTCAGTCAAAATTTATGTATTGCCAACATCATTAATTATTTCAAAAGTAAAAATATTTTAAGTCTAGATGTAAAATTCAGAAGTAAATGAAAGAAAAATAGAAGAAAACATAAGGAATATGAAAGATATAAAGATGACAAAAAAGTACAAAGAAATTGTTTCAACCTATGCATATAATGAGAAAAGTTATTAAAAGTTATAATTTTATTAGAATATCGCACGAATTCAGTGAATCTTTTGTTTTAATTAAAAACTTGTTTATTGCAAATTGTTGACAAAATTAAGCAGCTATTAGTTTTCTTTTCTGTTATTAAAATTTTTTCTTGAAGTATGTTTAATTGTTCAAGTATTTAGAGATTCTTTTTATGGAATAAACTGTCTCTTCTAAATGCTTGATAATTTTTTATCTTCTTAAATGAGTCTCCAGAATGAGTAAAAAACTGATTGTAACAGACACACAGAAAGTGTTAACAAAAAAGAAACGAATAAAGAAAATGTATTGTAAAAATCATAATGATCGAAAAGGATACATTTAGAAAATGATGTATAGCGTTTCAGAGAGTAAATGTAGATATATCTTAAAAGGAATCAGAAAAAGAATTTAGAAAAACGAATTAATAGTGTACACCGGTAAAGTAAGATAATTGGCTGACGTGTACTTGTGTAGGTATTATGACGATCGCTACAGAGAGCGTGAACGAGACAGAGATCGAGAACGAGAGTCAAGCCGGAGACCATCAGAGAGAGAACGAGAACCGGAACGTGAACGAGAACGTGAACGAGAAAGAGATCGTCGCGACGAACGTGGAGACTCTTCTCACCGTTCAAGGCATTAAAGGCGATTGCACGCTGAAGAGAAAAAAAAGGACTCTCATTACAAAACGTCAGGAATAACAGAAGAAGTAGTGAGAGTAAAAGAGCAGAAGGGGAAGAAGACAAGGAAGATGATCGTGCTTTAGCATACATCGTGTTCACGGGATCTCACCGTTGCAATCTTGCAAGCTCCATCGAGAAACAGATCCAAGAAGATACACGTTTATCTCCTGAGAGCACACCTCTTTTATATTTTATCTGAATATTAGTAGTGTTTAAACACTTTCTCGACCGATCAAAGGAACCATTGATTTCAGAATGAAGAAAACAGAGTAATTTTGCAATTGATTAGATTTCTTGATTCTATTTATACATGATTGGTAATTCAGAGCACCTTTCAATTTAAGACATTTAGTCTTTATAATAAAAGCATAGATAACTATCTATCTTATTTGTTTTATGTGATGAATAGCTTTGTTTGTACTAGAGGCTTGTAGTTTATGTATATTTAATATTCATGTATATGAAATGTATTTGTATATTTAGCTGAATAATTTTTAGTACATGTTTATCCATATACTAAAAATTAAAATCTTTAATTCATATTTAAATACTCAGATATACATGTATTAACATATCCATATTCTAACTTGGAATTTCGAAGTCAATATTTTGAAAATTTTATTTTATTCCTTCACGATTATATTGGCATCTTAAGAATCATCATTATGTTAACATCACAGTTTATCTATAATGTATCTTCTCTATTGCATCTTAAGAGTCATCGTTATGTTAATATTTTATGCTACAACATTTATTTATAATGATTAATAGTTTTTAAGTCTATATTAAAGCATAAGATCTTGATTATTTCATTTTTTTTTTTTCATAAACATATTAAATTCTAATTACAAAGAATTAAGGACATAAATTTTTTTATTTTCTAATAACATACTATTTTCGTTTCATAATAGCTGTTTATTGCAACTATTTCAAGAAACTACGACCTCTTATAAGAAACTATGAACTTTTATCAATTACAACTACATAACTGTATGTTGAATCACAAATATTTATTTTTAGATGTGTTTAAATGATATTTATCAATATGTGACGAACTATCTAAAAATATAGAATCTCGGTCGAGAAAGTGGCCAATCTGAGTAAGATTTAGGCATAATTTACAAACTATATGAAATTCCGGCAGAGTTTCAAATCGTGAACATTTTAGTCAAGTTACCAAGAGATGATTTTGTTACGTGGAATTCTTAATAACACGTTGAGCAGAAAGTTGATCGTAGTAATTTTCACGTTTCTTTTTTAGTCTCACTGATGTTTTTTTTCTTTCTTTTCACTTTTTACATTAGTATACATTATTATATTATTAAATATTATTACACTAATTATAAAAACAACAGGAAAAATGATAATGAAGCGAATGAAAAAGCGCATACACCATATATACATATATACATATATATCTATGTAACATTTAAGCAGAGAATATTTGATTAGTTTCCAGAGACAAAGAAAAAGGGGAGAGAGATAGTAAGAGTGAGAAAGCGAGAAAGGGAGAGTGTGTGTTGTCGAAGAATGGCAGAACAAATGATAGTAATAACAACAAATTAACAAAAAGAAAAAAATGATGAAAGCACAACGAAAGCCATGTTTCACGGAGAGTCGTATTCAGTTGCGGTTTACAGAGAAGCTGAAGAAGAGGCCTCGCGTATCTCCTGGTGAATAGTGCTATGTTTGCTGAGGAAGAACGAAGATCACACTCTGGATTCTCATCATCAGTCTTCTAGAGCTCCACGACGATGCAAGATTGTATCTTAACTATAATATATATATACGCTTTCAAAAAAAATATACGTGATAAACATGTCTTTACTTTATTCATCAGCACACACAATCTTCCTGATAAATATGTTATTTTTGTTTTTTGTGCTATTGCATTATTTCAATTATTAATCGAAAGGTGGAACCGATTGAGAAATAAATACACATCAGAATCTGATTTAGACACTTTCGATCCCACCTTTGATTAATTCATTTTTGTGGATGTTCAATTTTTACTGTTCATAATAATGACCGATTAGGGGTCGAAAGTGTGTGATAACAGAGGTGAAACACGATATTTTATATGCAAAGCAATGATTATGTTCCCCTGATTTATTTCATGATATATACTAGTCTCATTTATCAATATCAGAATACTTGTTCTCTGATAGTTGAATGCTTGAAAACTAATTTATCAAAATTTATCGGTATCTTTAATATAATATATGATGCTAGAAGAAAGAAATTTTATAATAGTAAGTTTTTTATAATGATGAATATAAATAATATTTTGTTTGACGACTAACATAAGGAATGAACAAGATGTTAAAAATTATCAATCTGATGTATTGCTATATCTTGTAATAATTTTTTCTGTTAATTTAAAACAAGTATAAATATTATATCGATTTGGATAATTTTGGTAAATGAGTTTTAAGTTATAGTGCCATCTTATTTTTCACTATTTAGTTGAAATACCATAGAAAGTTATTTATAACGGTATACAGTATTATTGTGAAAGCGTAATACATTCATGAAATGATTGTTCGAATCGTTAAAGAGGTTCCTGTATATTATTGCAGAATTTCTCGTCCTTAATATGTACGCCCTTAAGAGTGTACATATTAATCCTCGTGTAATCAAGGCTTATGTAATTAAAATTCTAAAAAGAATTTTATTTAGTCTTTTATGTTTTGAAATGTAGATTTAATTGTACATATAAACATCATAAATATGATACTGCATTAGATATTACGCATATATTACATATTTTGGAAATATGTAATTTAAATATAGTAATAAATAGAGTAATAAATTATAGTGATTTCAATTCTTGATTGTACAAGGATTAGAATCTAAAAAAAATTCACGTCCATTAACAGAGATTCTTTCATGTTTTAGGAAGATCAGTATTACTGTATTTTTCTATGCTCAAGCATGATGTTCTTAAGATTTAATGCCCCTTCTTACATATTTGAGCTTCATTTCTATAAACTTCCTCAAAGTTGAAACAAGAATTATCATCTTTCAATTTATTTTTTAGTCAGTTATACATATTATTTTTTAAGTAACATGTTATCCGATTGTTAGATATAAACAAAGTTGTAAAAGAAAGCATATGAATCACGCATGAGAAAGTTAAATATTACAATTGAAATATGAATATTATACATTGTGCATATTGTCCTTCCTAAGAGAGGAAAAGTATCAAGAATAAACAAAAACAGCGTGAACGGTTCACCTTCCGAAAGGATTTTTATCAGTTATCATTAAAACTGATAATACATAATATAATAATAATAATTGCTCTATGAGACCAAATTGTATATAGTTCTTATTATATATCGCATAATTTGTTGCTTCAACTGAACCCTTTACGGTCTTCTTTCATGTAACAAAATTACGAACTTTTATATTGTGAAATCAGATGAATTCTATATAATTATGCGTTATAAATATTTATTAAATTTTTAATATTCATGAAATGACTTCAGTCCGCAACAATTAGCGACATACTACTATTATTCTTACATGCTTTTATATTTTTAGTTCATATACTTAATATACTTTTTTAACCGGAAGCGTCATTTTTTAGAGAGAACGAAAAGGGAAGAGGACCGCAAAGGGCTGAGCGTTTGGTACCTTTTAATAAGTACCAGGCAACAGACGATGGACTCTTACAGAGCACAGTACAAGATAGATAAATTCTCGATAACAAAGAAAATTAAAATCTCGATAAATTTTTACGTTGTAATACACGAGACTAGTTTGCATGATAATATACATAGTATGTGCGTGTCTCGTGAATGATTATTATGTTTCGATGTGCCATTTTAAAATAATCATAATAGTTATCTCAACCATGCAGCTAGAGATAAGAGATATTGCTGGATCGAGTATAATCAATTTATAGTTCAATTATTTAAGTTTTATTCACATTTTAATCCTTTGCGATTCAATGTTTCTCCTATTTCAAGTTAAAATTAATTTTATTTCTGTATATTTATATATGTCAGTTTTCATTATTGTTATATTGATAAATCATAATTTGTCAAATATATTTTTCATGAATTATTTTTTATCTAATACTTGTAAAAGTGATTTGCACGACTTTTATTTCATTATTTGTCATTAGAAATATAGTTTTTTTTTTTATATAATGTGATAAAATACAACTATAATGCTTAAAATAATTATACAATAATGTCTATAAACACACTTGAAAAAATTTTAAAAATTAATATTTTACAAAATAATTCAAATACATAGAGTAATTAAAATTACTATTATATTAAAATAAAGAATCGCAAAGGATTAATGTAATATGTTCTTTTCATCCTCAATTAATTATACGATTCCAAATTCAACATTTTTGCAACAAACAATTTTCAAATTCCATAATTGAATTAATATACAAACATATACTATAAATCTAGTTCTTAGAGAATGAAATGTATAATTCGTAGTTCTTAAAAAAATCTTCAGACACTAAACACGTTGCAACAAAAACTTGTATCTCCTGAATTTAGTTAGTACTGTGCGAATTCTTTATGTATAGATTTTTTCCCTGCGATTCACCAACTAGAAACATATTTTATTGTAGATCAGTCATTTCATTTCTGAATCTTATGTTATGTCTGAATAATAATATTTAAAAAATTAATGAAAACAATCCTGATAGGATTAAAAACAAATTTTTATCTTCGATTCTAATATGACTTTGTCTAAATATCTAAATAATCGAAGTAATTATAATGTTATTTTTCCCTCCGTTTACAACTGAAAATAA